GGATTCTTCAAAAAAATAAATGCACATATTTAACATTTTATGCTTTGCAATGCCGGAAACAATTACATAAAATTGCAGCTTGTAGACCGGCCGCCCAGGATGAGAAGCAAGTGGATGACTTGCGTCATGATCCTCGCCGGGTTTTTTGTTCGCTTTTCGTGAGTGCTTGAGACAGGGACAAGGCGAGTCTGAGGCGTTGCTTTCATTTCCAGCTCATATTGTGGCAGTGTTCCTTTTTATCGGTGTGTGCACATTAGTGTGTTTCTGTTCACACACACATATATATGATATATATATTGATACATATATATATAAACATTTATATACATACTGTATACACACAAAAACACACACATATATATACATCTATATTTGTGTGTGTATGTATAATATATATATATATATATATATATATATATATATATATATATATATATATATATATATATGGGTGTGTGTGTGTGTGTGTGTGTGTGTGTGTGTGTGTATGTGTGTGTGTATGTGTGTGTGTGTGTGTGTGTGTGTGTGTGTGTGTATGTATGTATATATACAGAGAGAGAATGCGCTTACTTATAAATGCCTAATGATGATATACAGTGAATTCATCAAGAACATTTTCTCTTTGCAGATGGTAGTTGCAACGAGAGGCCCGCTAAAGTAAGTAGGATTAAGTTTTTGCCAAAAAACATTAGTGATACTGTTGCTATTGATAATGGTAATCGGTTAATAATACTTGATATGATAAGAATAATTCTAATATGATACAAAGATGAGTGTTAGCGATAATGGTAATAGTAATAGTGGTAATGACGATAATAATAATAGTGATAATTATAATAATAATGATAATGGCAATGATAACAATAATTTTAGTACAGTAATGGCAATTCTGATAATAATAATGATGATAATAATCATAATCATTATCATTACCATTTTCATTTTCATTTTCATTTTCATAGTCATAAACATCATCATCATCATTATCATACTAATAATGATAAGGATAATAATAATGATAATAGAAAGAACATTAACAGTAATCTAATAGTAATAAAGATAACAAAAATTAATTATTATGATAATGATGATGGTGATTATAATAATAATAATAACAACAACAATAAAAATAATAATAATCATAATAATAATGATAATGATAATAATAAAAATGTTAATGAAGATAATAATAACGATACTGATAATAGAAGCAATAATAATGATTTTGATAACAGCAATAACAATGATAGAAATAATAATAATAATAATGATATTAATAATAGTGATAATCATCATCATCAGCAGCAGCATCACACCATCCTAATAATAATTAAAACAACTAAATAATAATAGAAAGAATGATGATAATAAAAATCATAACAATAAAAATTATATTGATAATAATGATAATAATAATAATAATAATGATAATAATAATGATAATAATAATAATAATAATAATAATAATAATAATAATAATAATAATAATAATAATAATAATAATAATAATAATAATAATAATAATAATAACAATAATAATAACAATAATAATGACAACAACTACGTACATCAATAACAACAACGATGATGAGGTGTGCAATGCTGCATCCACCTTCCGTTTCCAGCCATGTGAGTCCTCTTTGGCGAGCTGCCAGACAGGACAATAGCCCAGTTTTACAGCTTCATAGATCTGGTCGCTTTGCAAATCTTCCTTAATCATCCCACGGTCTTCCTCCACCCATAGCTATGACCTGAAGAGACAGCATGATAGACGGATTCATCCTCATAGTTATAAATTCCTTTCCTAGTTCTGTGAAATACGAGACAACGAACCACAGAAATACTTTCACTGGGGTATTAGTGTGTCAAAAGGGCATGTTTAGCGAAGAGCCAGTGAAGAGAATATACAGAAACGAGTATACAAGCTTACGTTAGTAAATTTCGTCATTCTCTGAGCAGTCCTTACATTAGGTGCACATGAACCTGCTATATGTTGAGTTGCTTGAGTGACTGAAAGAGAAATCTCCAACTTAGTCAATTCTAGAAATGACAGGCTTGCGCTATTTGAGCAAGTCCTTTCAATCCAAGAGGCCTAACGATCTTTAAAAGTCGGTAGTGACACGTTGAGGAATATTCAATATCTCAAAATCAAAGTAAATAATGATGAAAAACGAAGAACAAAAAATGTACGGTGACCTTAAACACTATAGGGCGTGTTATGTCTTCAGATGCCAGACCAATATGTCCACTGATTCCCTGCTTCGACAGCCTAGCGTCATGAGGTTGTCGAGGGTGCGCTCGATGGTGGAGTGGTCAGGGCAGGAACTGCTTAGAGTCATGAACTACGCTTCCAAATATGTAAGGCTCTGTGTGACTTCGAAGTCTTTACCGCAAGCGCTTTGCTAATGACCTAGTTCTCCTAACAGACCCCCAAGTCCTGGATAATGGTCCAAGAGTCTTTTAGACCCAAGGGCTTCACTTCTCTGGTAATAGAGTCTTC